TGCATATACTGCTTCGTTCTGTTATACATAAGGTCACTACAAGTTGGAGGACTCAGTGGCACCTAACAACATCAATAACAACATGTACACATGTATGTATATATACACGTTTATGTGTGTGTTTATATAGGAAGTCATTTTGAAACAGAAAAACGTGATATAGATGAATATTTTTATTACTAACATTCTGTTTACAAAGTGGCATGTTTTTGCAAAAGTAATTTAACTGAGTGAGTCAACCAATATTTACTTATTGTGTGCTTTGAAAAAGGCCTTATAACTAGCATTTTTATCTAAATTATCAGCTAAAATCCCTACAAAAGCAAACCTTCATATTGAACTGCATTTGAACCGCACCTACTCTTTGTAAAATTCACGTGTTGATGGAAAATATGCTTGTAACTGCTTTTAAGAAACATTTTCTTTGAAAAGTGATTTTGTTGTTGTTAGCTGCCATTGGTTAGGCTCCCAACTCATGGCGACTCCACGTGTTACAGAGCAGAACTACTCCCCTGGGTTTTCTTGGCTGTTATCTTTATGGAAACAGTTCACCAGGCCTTTTCTTTGCACAGTTGCTGGGTAGGATTGAACTGCCAACTGCTGGGTTAGCAACTGATTGCAAACCGTTTGTGTCACACAGCCTCCTTTTGAAAAGTGATGGTGACACATATATTGCCCAGGTTGTTTGCTTTTGTAAAATTTGAGTATTGAAGAAACTACATATATTTTTTTGGTTTTGTTTTGTTTTCTTCTGATAAGTGCTAGGTTACAAAGATATCCCTCCATATAATTTATAAATTATTCACTTTTGACTTGTGCTCTTCAGTTTGATCATAGATTCAAGGTTGTCTATCCAAACAGAGGCTGCATGGGCCTTTGGAAGCAAACCTCCAGCTTTGACATTTACTAGTACGACCTCGGGGAAGTTATTTAACCTTTCTAAATTTCACTTTTTCATATGTAAAAAAAAAGACAGTCGGCAAAGCAACAGTCTATCTGCTATGCTTCATTGTGAAGGTTAATGATATAAAACATAGACAAGAGGTAGATGATAGTAAATAAAGATGAGTTCCCTCCTCTCTACCTTTGGTGGTGATTCTTTGCACATATTCTTACAACCGTGTTCTCTTTCAGAACTTAGTTCATTGAGGGGAAGACCAATGTCAAGATATAGAGGTCCTAAATGGTTGCAGATTTATAAGTATGGTGGTATCATTTTTAAAAATTTGCCCTCAGGAATATAAGTTCTTAGAATGTTCATGATGTTTCACTTTAACTTAAATTTATAATCTTCATCCATGTCCTTCCCAAGGTCACTGATAACTGAATCCAATATAGATATCAAACATTATTTTATTACCATACTCATACCAGAGAAATGATCTACTGTTATTAAAAGATGAATAGAAAAGTTAGACATTATTTCTATCATGGTAATTTTATAAGCTTGAAACTCAGGGCCACCAAAGAATTTAGGAAACTTCCTCTAAATCTATAATGGTCTATCATACTTCCCTTCTAAAATTGCATATGGAAATTGAAAAATCTCACAAAATGGAGTCCTATGCTATAAAAATGAATAAGGGGAAAATGACTATCAATTGATAACAATAAATAAATTGTTTTAATAATTTGCAATTGTGTATTTCCATATGAATTTATTTTAGAAAAATTATGGGATTCAATTCCAGGTTCCACCTGTACAGTTCCTGTAGTCTGAAAATAGGACTCTAAGTTAGTACACATTTCTCATACAACTTGCTTTGTCATCCAAGTGGCTTCCAAATCCTGATTTATTCTAAAATCTCTGAAGTAAATAAAACCAAGTTTAATAACCTAACATTTCTTTAAGAAATCTGAAAAGATTTAATTGCATGGAACTTATACAGTCTGACTGACTTTGTTTTAACCTGCATTGGCCTAAAAGATTTGGTTGGGTAAGGAAGGGTGTAGCTGCTCTGTTTTAAGGATCTTCCACCTGTGATGGTATAATTGCTGGGAAGTACTTACAGCTGACATAATAAGCTCTCCCCCCAGGTTCTGGATCTCAGCTTTAACTTGACTGCAGATTTTCAGTTGGTGAGAGTAGAATTTGATCTGTTCCAGGTAGGCCAACAAGTCTTGTTTGCATGATGGATCTGGACACTATATAAACATAAAAGATAAAAATTGAAGTAAAAAAATAAATGATAGGTAGACCAAGGTGAGTAAATACTGAAAACGCAGGTACCTTATGGTAGCAACTTGCTTTTCATTGAGTCTCATTTCTCAGATCAAGCTCACTTAAATTCTGATATGCTGCCGTCTTAGCTTATTCATGTTGCAACCTTAATTACATCAGCATAGACAAAAGAAATATTAAAGGAATTTTCAGGCATGAAAAGGTGCATAAAGTAATTGCCTTTATTTCATTATTAAGATTAGAAGGCTTCAGATTATGTTTTTAGGTAAATATAAAGAAATATTTAAGAAGCAATTATTCCTTCCACATAGAATTACTACTGGAATACTCCTTGGGAGTCATAATTTTGCATTTTCTGTCCTGTGATATTTCTATGGGCATAAAAAAGTCTGCAAAAAGCAAACGAACAAACAAAAAACATATATTCTATTGCTTTCTGTGCCTAATGTGCGAAGCTGTTAACAATCAAAATCATTTCCACCTTAGATAACAGTTGTAGATCTACCTGGATCCAAGAAACAGACAGCATAAATGTTTCGGAGACAAATGAACTACGACTTCAATTTCATTACGAAAACCAGTCTTTCACACTATATTATAAGGAACCTCCTAGAAGACAGCTTTGAGTTTCATCATCATAACACGGAAAATATCTGTGTTCAGGTTTTAATCTTTTTTGCTGTTTCTTATATATGTATTTATAACTGATCTAAAAAAAAAAAACTCCCCTCACTTATTTCCACTATTAATAAATTATAATAAGAACATGGACATATGGACAGTCATTTACATACAGAAATATTCGCTTAGCATTACTCATAATAGTAAAATCTGGAAATAACCTAAATGTCCTGAAGTAGGAGAGAGATAAAATAAGAATGAATATCTGATATAACGTGACATTATATAGCCACAAGGAAATATTGTTTTTAAATGACATTAAAGGATGTAGGAAAACGAAGATGGAAATAGGATGAAAAAAAAAATCAGCATTTAAAATTGCATACACTATCTCAATCAAACTATGGAAAAAATATGTTTGTGTTCAAAACGTGGGGAAAAACATGAAAATAAAAAATGAATGTGATATTTGGAGACTCCGGCAAGATGGCGGTCTAGGCAGAGGCACCACGCCGTCCCTCCACAACAAAGATCCGAAAAACTAAGCCAAACAGAAAATCAACAATCCTGAAACCCTAGAACATCAAATG